GGCTGCTCTCCCGCGGCACCCGGGCCCCGGCCGGAGCCGGGAGGCGAGGGCGGCGGCAGCGGCGGCGGCAACAGAGGGGCGCCCTCGGCGCCGGGCCGCTCCTCCGGGTCCGGACTTAGCGTGAGGCCGTCGACCGACACCTCAAGTCGCTCTGCGTTCAGCACCGCCGCCATCTCCGGCTTCTGCGCCTCCTCAGCGGGGACAGGCGGCGGCCACGTATCGACTTCCTGCTGACCTCTGACCTCCACTTACTGACACCGGAACTTCCGCTGCTGAGGAGGGGCGAGGGCTCCCGAGAAAGGCTGAGGCCTGGTGCCCCGCCCACTCCGCAGCGATTGGCCACGCCCCTCCGCAACGATTCGCCACGCCCCCTCCGCAGCCACCTGCCACGCCCCCAGCTCCTGCAGGTCCGGAGCTCTCTGCCCGCGGCTCCCTGGTCCCCTGGGCCCCGGTGGCTCTCGGTGCGCGGGTGCTGCACCCAGCGGCCCCCGTCCCGCCGCCCCCACCGTGTTCTGTTCCGCAGCTGTCGGTGTCACAGGGGCGGCGGCGGGCGAGCGCCGCGTGGGGTCTGTGCGGGGAGGGTGGCTATGCAGACAAGGGCCCTACCCTGCGGGTCACTTCTGTAGCGACTTCTGCAGTTGGCAGAGCTCATGTCCACCACAGTTTCGTTTGGTCTTCGTTGAGGAAATGCAGGGCAAACGCTTTTTTTTTTTTTTAAAGAGGAAACTGAGGCTGCAGAGAAATTCAGTGGCTTCTCTGAGGTTGCAGACAGGGGCAGATCCTGGTTTTGCAGGAACTGAAGCGCATACGATTTGTGGGACCCTCGTTAGGAAAAAGCGTAAAAAATTACGAGAAGAATATATATTTAGAATGAGAAAAAAATCATAAGTGATATTTTTAAAAATTACCCAAATTCAAAAACATCACACAGATAACCATGATATTTTTATTTAACTGCCTGGCACACTTCTACAGGGCATCCAAGAACCCAGAAACATAATTTTCTTTTTTTTTTAAATATTAAAGATGCCCTTGACGACATCATGTATATTCACCTGAGTTTCTAGACTTTGGGGGTACCATTTATGATAATATTTTGTACATTTTTTGGCCACATACAATTGATTGCCTTTTCTTATAACAATTATTTGCAATATTTTCTCTAAAGAAAAGAGAAAAATCAATCAGTCTTTCCTCTAGAGTGGTTGATTAATTTTTTTTTATTGTTAGAAGTTTCTGGGCCGGCCCGGTGGCGCACTGCTACAGTGCGCCGCTTGGGAGCAGGGTGGCGCTCCCGCCGAGGGTTCGGATCCCACATACAGACCGGTTCCCGCTCACTGGCTGAGCAAGGGGCGGGTGCAGCACCGAGGGTTGCGATCCCGTTGCCGGTCCCGGTCCAGTACGGGCGCGACACTGAGGGTTGCGGTCCGTTGCAGACATGAAAAAAGACAAAAGACAAAAAAAAAAAAGGGCCGGCCCCGTGGCGCACTCGGGAGAGTGCGGCGCTGGGAGCACAGCGATGTTCCCGCAGCGGGTTCAGATCCTATATGGGACTGGCCAGTGCGCTCACTGGCTGAGCGCGGTGCGGGTGACACCACACCAAGGGTTGCGATCCCCTTACCGGTCACAAAAAAGACAAAAAAAAATAGAATTAAAAGATAATACAGGTTGACTGATTAGCTCAGTTGGTTAGAGCACAGCCTTGTAACAGCAAGATCAAGGGGTCAGTTCCCCTTACCGGCCAGCCACCAAAAAAAAAAAAGATAATACAAATCTTCCTGTAAACTTTTTGAAGACCCCTCATATAAACAGTTTAGAGAAACTACCTCTTTTTCCCTACCCCTACCTTTTACATGTGAGGAGGCACACAGAATTACCAAAAAGAATATTTTCTGAAACCTTTCAAATATCTTCTCCAAATCTGTTCTTATATAAAAGAGGGTACTTGTCAACCCCCCGAATTTACTGTGTGAATTTCCGTTAAGCATCATTCCATTCAATAATTTTCCGGATGAAGTGTTACCGTTTCTGAAATTTAACCTTTCTGTTTGTTCTCACCACATATTTTCATCCTCTCTGCTAGATATTGTTAGATCGTCATACAGGAACTGACTTCAACTTTTTGTTTTCTGCTTTATCTGGTGAATTAATAATCAATACTCAGTAAATTTCTGCAGTTAGTCTTATTTAGTAATGCAGTACACTTTAGTAGTGAAAATTATGTTGTTCTCCTTGACTGCAGCACCTTGAGGGCAAAGGCCGTTTCCCTGGACTCCCACAGTCTCCAGCACAAGATGGGAAATGTGGAATGTTTGAGCGAATGAATGAAGGTATAATTACATCTATTTCATGCCATATCAGTTCAGGTCAACATTTTTTTTTTCTTTTTTTGGCAGCTGGCCAGTATGGGGAGGTTCAGCATATGTTTACAGGGTGATCTTTGGGACCATGCCAGAAACACTAAATTAGAGCGAGGCTGCCAGTGCTGGAATTTACCTACCAACTCGGTGACCTTGAGCAGGTTACTTAACTTCTGTGTCTTCCTTTGTAAAATGGAAATAATGACAGTGTCCACCTTTCAGGCTGTTAAGAGGACTGGATTCATGAATAAATATAAAGCACTTGGATAAGAACCTGCCCAGCACATAGTGAGTTTTTAATAAATCTTGGCCACTATTATATTCAACGTTCCATTAAAATGCAGGAGAGGGCCGGCCCGGTGGCGCACTCGGCAGAGTGTGGCGCTTGGGAGCGCGGTGGCGCTCCTGCCGAGGGTTTGGATCCCATATAGAGACTGGTCCGCTCACTGGTTGAGCGCAGTGCGGGCGCGACACCGAGGGTTGCGATTCCGTTGCCGGTCGCGGTACGGGTGCGACACTGAGGGTTGCGATCCCGTTACCAGTCACGAAAAAAGACAAAAAGGAAAAAAAGATAAATAAATAAAATAAAATAAAATAAAATTCAGGAGAGAGGCTGGCCGATTGTTCAGTGGTTAGAGCATGGTGCTGATAACACCAAGGTCCAGGGTTCAATCCCCATACCAGACAGCTGCCAAGAAAAAAAAAGACAAAGAGAGAGAGAGAAGAGAGAGGTTGCGTGCTGGGGGCTCCAGGAAAAAGCCTGCCCACTAACGTCGTTTAGCTGGCTTGTGAGAGTTGGCCCCTGCAGTTCTTTTAATTTGAATTGGTTGCTAGCGTCTTAAAATCTGGAATTTTAATGTAAAACTCCAGATCTCTGACTTACCTTAAAAAATTAAGAAATCTGGCGACAGTGGGCCTGGCATTGGTGCTTGACAATGATGAGCTGGAGCTGTGTAGAGGGCATGTGCTCTTAAGTTCGCAACAGTCCCGCACGGTGACAGACACATACCTGTCTATCATGGACCTGTACCTGATCAAATCTATTTACCATTTTACACCAATGCTATGAATTTATATTATTACCTACCTGGCCTCTGTCTTAGTCTATTCAGGCTGTTATAACAAACTGCTATAGACTGGCTTATAAACAACAGAAATTTATTGCTCACAGTTCTGGAGGCTTGGAAGTCCAAGATCATGGCTCTGGCAGATTTGATGTCTGGTGCAGGCTGTTTCCTGGTTCATCTTCTGGCTGAGATCTCACGCAAGCCTGGCATGTTTAGTTAGACCTGGCTGGAGCATGTACTGCATGTATTGCAAGAGAGAAGTGACAGGAGATGAACCTGAAAAGGTTGGCAGGGGCCAGATGTGCAGGGCCAGAGATTGTCCTGTAGGTGGTGGGGAGCCCTGGAAGGATTTTATGCAAAGCAGTGTTTTGAGGAAGAGGCAGGAGGGGAGGCTGGCAGGAGGGAGCTCAGAATGGAAGCTACTGTTACATCCCAGGCAAAGACAGTGAGATTCTGAACAGGAACACGGGGCTGGCCAGCGGCTCACTTGGGAGAGTGTGGTGCTGATAGCACCAAGGTCAAGGGTTCAGATTCCGTACCAGCCAGCTGCCAAAAAACACATATCTACATATGAAGAGGAACAGAGTAGGGAAATGGCAAGGAAGAAATGAATTCCAAAGAGATCTGCAACACAGTCAACAGAGCCAATACAGCCAGCCAGAGCAGGTGACGGGAAGGCAATGGATCTGTCACATTTCAGCTGTCACAACCTAAGGCACATTTTCTGGACCCTTGTCTCTTTATGTGTAAAAAGGAGAAATCGTTTCTGCCCTGGTGTCATCACATGTTGTTGATAGGCCTAAATTAACTTATCTCTGTGAAAGTGCTTCAGAAACTCTAAAACAAGATAAATAGATATGATTCTTCTTTTTTTTTTCTTCTTGGCCCTTTTCATTTGCTGAAAAGATACTACGATTCTTAGAGCTGCTATAGGGCTGGCCAGTTGGCTCAGTTGGTTAGAGTACAGCTTTGTAATAATACCAAGGTCAAGGGTTTGGAACCCCTCACCGGGCAGCCACCAAAAAAAAAAAAAAAAAAATTTGGAACCCCCCCCCGGGCAGCCCCAAAAAAAAAAAAAAAAAAAGGAGAGAGAATTATCTTAAAGCTGCTACCGCCATTTTTCTCTGGCCTTCACCTCCGAAACACTCTCAAGGGTCAATGTCCATTATAAAATGATGTATATTTTTTTCAGATTTAAAAGTAAAAATGGCTCTAACAACAACAAAAATCATATACTTATGGAAATCTGTGTTTTAAAAAGCAGAAGTCTCCCATAAATCCCATTACTGAGATCTAACCCATATTAATAAATTGGGGAACATTCTTCCATCTGGCTTGCTAATATTCATATAATAATACCGATAATTATTA